CCTCTTAGGCTGTCCTGGGGCCTTCTTGGGCCGTCTTGGGGCCCTCTTGTAGGCCTCTTGGGGCGCTCTTGGGGGCCTCTTGGGGGCCTCTTGGGCCGTCTTGGAGTGTCGGAAAGCCGAAAAGGTCGGATTCTGCCGTGGCAGCGTCAATGGCCAAGCGCTGGGTATTTGCCTTGGCCTGTTCCGTCCATTATTGACATGGTTGTTCGTGTTGGTCTGCTCGCGGAAGTGCTCATTTAGCTTTGCAGGCCGCCACACTAGCTCCTTGAAGACGTTGCTCCCGTAGCAAAGCTGGTCGAAGTGGCGCTTCCTTTGGGGCTTGTGCTTCGGCGACCACGGCCTTGATGCGATTCTTGGCCTCTGGAACATGCTTCTCCAGGCACTACAAAATCAGTTCCCGTGTAAGCGCAAAAGGGGGAGCTCGGGCCCTGGAAGCTGTGGGTCGTAGCATTCGGGGCCCACGCTCCCGGAGGACCTGCTGCGAAAGGGCTGGGAGGTACGGCGGATGACCCTTTGCTGCGGGTCCACCACGGCGGGGCGTTGTCACGTGACCGCGGTCCTTGAGGCCGAGGCGGTGCGACTTGCGCAGGCTGTAGCCGCCCTCCGCACTTCCAGCACAATGTATGATCGCCAAAGTTCCACTGATAGCGGCAAGAAGTGCAAGCGATATAGCCTGCCCTCTGTTGTCGCATCTTCTCTCCGCCATAGGAACTTGCCATGGGATGCTCCTGCAGGAGCTCGCTGAAAGGAGAGGCTCGCCCTCAGCAGCGCGCAGCTCGACTGGGGTGGCCTGTAAGAAATCACCCAAGCTGGCCGCGGACTAGCGGTATCCACTTTGCTCCCAGGGGGAAAGAAGAGCCTTGAGCCAAAATGGCCACGACGGAGGACGGGGAGGAGGAGGAAGAGGAGGAGGAGGAAGAAGAGAAGAGGAGGAGGAGAAGGAGGAAGAGGGAGGAGGGAGGAGAGAGGAGGGAGGAGGGAGGAAGGAGGAGGGAGGAGGGAGGGAGGAGGGAGGAGGAGGGAGGAAGGAGGAAGGAGGAAGGAGGAAGGAGAAGGAGAAGGAGAAGGACAATGATAATAAGACGAGTGTTAATAGTCAGCAGAAGACGAGGAGGAGGAGGAGGAGGACCAGTGCAAACCCAAGAGTCATCAACGATATTGGAATGAAGCTTCCCTTCAAGCTCCCATGTCAAAAGCCCCTACAGGGGTTCATTTCCATTGAGGGAACTGCCTCGTTGGAAGAGAACCGTTTGAAGACCCTGAAGCATGGTAAAACAGTTTTCTCGGGATTCCAACGCCACAGATCAACCTGACTGTTGCGTCTTGGCCATCCCGAATCGTGTCAGAAAAGGAACCGCCCTCAACCCGTGAAATTATTGCTGGAGTTGTTTAGCGAATTCACGCGGCGCTCAGGCGAGAGCCACATTTTGAAAACGGGCCGCCCTCAATCCGTGAAACTGTTGCAAATTGTTAGCAGGACGGTGCGCGGCGCTAAGGCGAAAGCCACATCTTGAAAGCTACCCACCCTCAATTTAAGAAATTTCTGCAAATTGATAGGGCGAATGCGCGCGGCACCAAGGCGAGAGCCACATTTTGAAAACGGCCCGCCCTCCATGTGTGAAACTGCTGCCACCTCTTAGGCTTCAGGGTCATGAGTGGTGAGGAAGTCTCAGGCGAAAGTCCCGGCCCGCCCTAAAAACTGGTTGTTTATAAGTTGCTTCTAAGGAAAAGGAATGTAGGGACAGGGAGAAGTTGTTTATAAGGAAAAGGAATGTAGGAGGAGGGCGCGGCCGCGCCTCCCCCCGCCCTCCCATTGCTGGTGCGGCGCCCGCCTCCGCTCTCTGCTGCCGGCCCCGCTGTCACTGCTGGGCCGGCGGCCCGTTTTGACCCGCGCGGGGCTTGTCGCCTGCTGCGCTGCTCGACTTGGAGCGCTCGAGCGTCTTCTCTCCATGGCTGCGTGCGACCGAAAATTGTGTGTGTGTGTCTCGAGAAGGGATACGTTATGAGTAATTTCTCTCTCGCACCTCGAATGCAGCGAGCGGAATTCGCTCCAGGCCGTGGCACGGAGGGTCGAGCACCTGATGCCCCTCCCCGCCACTGCTGCCCGAACAGAAGTGGCTACAGACGCAGCTCACCTGCCGGGCACCCCGGGAGGCAAGATGCTGGCGACATGTCGGTTCCCCACTTGTCCGTTTCACGTTGATCCCCCACGATAATGCGTGTGAACTTCCCGCGTCGAGCTTTCGTTCCGCGGGTGTTTTGGCCGCTGCACTTTGGCTTTACAGTGCCTCTTGTTTTCCCAACACTTATGTGCATGGCCGTGACTGGACTCTTTCATCACGGCGCGTCCGACTAAGTTCGTTCGCAATTGACACCTCCACCTGCCGACCGCGCCTGAGGCTCCTCTGCGCCGCCGACTTAAAAGTGTGTGTGTGTGCTGTGTGTGTGTGTCTTTCTGTATGGTTTTGCGTCTGTCTGTCTGTCTGTCTGTCTGCCTATCTATATGTCGGTTTGTCTTTCTGTCTGTCTGTCTGTCTGTCTGTCTGTCTGTCTGTCTGTCTGTCTGTCTGTCTGTCTGTGCGTCTGTCTGTGTGCGTGCATGCGCGCGTGCGTGCGGGTGCGTGTGTGCGTGCGTTCGTGCGTGCGTGTGTGTGTGTGTGTTTGTGTGTGTGTGCGTGTGTGTTTTCGTGTGTGTGTGTGCGTGCGTGCGTGCGTGCGTGCGTGCGTGGGTGTAGGTGTGTGTGTGTGTGTTTGTGTTTGTGTGTGTCTGTCTGTGTGTCTGTGTGTCTGTGCGCATGTGTCTGTTACTGTGTTTGTGTCTGTGTCGGAGGCTGGTTGCAGCACCAGTCCTCGCAACACTATTCGCAAAATAAGCGGCGTTGCAAAGTCTGGCAATTCGAAGGTTCGGCCTGTTGGGGTCATCTTGCGAGCTCGCTTGGGCTTGAAACTCGCTGGACCCTCTTGTGCAGCCTTGGGGGTCTGAGGTTGGGGAGTGAGATCGAAGAGGGACGGATACCCCCCGCCGGGGAATCGGTTTCGGTTTCGCGTTCGTGTCGTGCGTGCTGACGAGGCGAAGTTGCGTGGGTGGGCGAGCGGAATGAACCCGCAGCGGAAGGGCGAACCTGGGTCAAATGTTGCTCTGCCCTTTGGTTGTCCGGCAGTGGCTTGGGGGTGCGTCGATGGTGTCCCAATGATGTCTTCGATGTTGCCCAGATGATGTCCCATTGGTGCCTCGATGGTGTTCCGATGGTGTCCCGGTATTGTCCCCATGGCGTCACCATGTTGCCCCGATGGCGTCCCGATGTTGTCCCGAGTGTGTGCCGATTTTGTCCTTATGGTGTCCCGGTGTTGTCCCCATGGCGTCCCCAGGGTGCCCAGATGGTGTCCCGACGGTGTCCAGATGGTGTCCCCATGGTGACCTGGTGGTGCCTCGATGGTTGTCTTGATGGTTGCACCGTGACGTCGATGGATAGTGAGACTGATCGGTTGGGAGATTAATAGTGAGATCGATGAGCAGATTTCCATGGGCGTGTCCCGATGCTGTTCACATGGTGTCCGTATGGTGCCCCGATGGTGTCCCGATGGTGTCGTTGATTTGTCCCCGCAGTGTCTTCAGGTGCTCCTCCCGATGGTGTTTCGATGGTACCCCGATGGTCACCATCATCGCAGTTGTCATCAGTTGGTTCCCCCCCACAACCTCCTTATCCCCCGGGGGGTGGTCGTATAGGTGTGTGTGTGTGTTGTTTTTCCACATCTTCCGCCTCCCAATCTCCTTCTCCCGTTTTCCTCCCTTCTCTCCTTCCCTTCCCTCCCCCCTCTCTCCTCCCTCTCTCCTCCTCCCTCTCCCCTTTCTCCCCATTCCTCCCAATCCCCGTCCTGTCATCCTTCGCTTCATCCCTCCCACCTCCCGGCCCCCCCTGCTCTCCCCCAAGGTCGGCCACAGTCTGCCACAGTCGCGCGATCGCTTTGAGCGATTGGGGCTCGAGGCAGCGTCGTGCAAGACAAAGCTACCTCCTGTCGCCCGCAGACGGGCGGCGTGGCGCACAAGTGTCCCAGAGTCCTGGGTGTCTTGTGCGATGACGCCTTGGAATCGCGTGATCGTTAGGGTACCCAGTAAGATCTTCCAGCCTTCTGCCCGCCCTAACTTACAGTACTACTATCCCTGGACAACAAAGCAGGCGGTGACACAGGTTTTGCCAGAGGCGGGCAAACTACGGCACCTCCCCATTCCAGTGGCTCCCGGAGGGTTTGCCGCATCTTGATTGCCTCCTTCATTTTCATCCCTCCCGCCTCATCCCGCCTCCTTCCTAACCCCATTCTTTCTCTGGGAGCGTGCGCGGGGGGGTGGCAGGGAGGAGGGGGCGGGATTAAGGGGAGTGGATTCGAAGAGGGAGGGGCAGAGGGAAGAGGGAGCAAGGCTCCACAGGCTCCTCAGGGTTCTCCCTCCCGTTCCCTTGCTCGGGCGTTGCGCAATGGGGGGGAGGCGATACATGATGGGGCGAGCTCAGCTAAGCAAGGTGTACCTGAGGGGTCCCAAGAGGGCACCTGGGGCCCAAAAGGAACACGAAAGGTACACCTGAACGACGTAGAAAAAAAACGGTGCCTTCTTCACCGACATTGGCGCGTAAGCTGCCCGCGTAAGGTCGCGCGTGACCGCCCTCGTTTCCAGTGTGGCGTGTCGCGCTGGCGGCCCGCGTGACGCACCGCGTAAGGTCGCTGGCTATGCTATCTCGCATAAGACCCGTTTCTTTTCGTCGCCCACCTGATTTTGACATCCTCCCCCGAGCAGGGGCGCCTCCGCCCCGCCTCGGGGCTCTTCTTCGGAGGCCTGACCTCAAACCTCGAGCCTCGATCTTCGTTCCTCGAACCTCGAACCTCGGTCCTCGAACCTCGAACCTCTCCTTCGCCTCTCTCTCTCTCTCTATTTATATGTATATATATGTATTCATATATCCTCTCTCGCGCCGTCCCCTCTGCGGCCCGAGCTCCACGCGCCGCAGGAGCAGCCGAACGTGGAGTCGATGTCGATCTCGGACGAGCTGCCGCAGCTAATCGAGGCCGCGCGGCGAGGGCAGGGAGGAGGAGGAGGAGGAGGAGGAGGAGGAGGAGGAGGAGGAGCCACGGGCTGAGGAGGGGCGGGGCCGTCGTCCATCGTCGGTCGCCCCCGCTGTCCGTGGCCGCGCGCAGCGCGCCATCGGCGCCGCAGCCGCGGCCTCGCGCAGCCGCCACGCCCCGCGAGGGCGAACCCGCCTGGCACAGGCGTCAGCGGGAGAAGAGGGCTGCCGCGAGAACATGCTTCCGCGTGCTGGACGCGGCCCAGGTCTTCAACGGCCACCACTCCGCGCAGCAGGCCACAGCCAACGGAATGGCGAAGAGATGTGCGGAAAGGCGGGCAGACTCCAGGGCGGCCGAAGGGTCCGAACGGACAGCCACCTGGAAGTCCGAAGGCTCCGCATCCGCAGGTGGGCGACGAAGAGGACCACCCGTCGGAGGACAGCCATGGCCTCGGCAGCGTGACGGGCAGCAGCAATACTACTCACAGCAGCACAAGCAGTACGACGACCAGTACAACATATGGAGCGGACATCAACAAAAAAAGGCTGGATGGAATGCAAGATGGAGATCTGCATCGAGGGGGGCGCCAGCCGAACAAGACAAACCACGCCGAAGCCGAGAATCATTCCAGTGGAGAAGACGGCGACACCCAGAATCACAACTTTTCCAAGCGGCAGTCTGAGGTGTTAGACGAGATCCTCCGGTGCTCCATCGAGGAAGCCAAGAAGCACGAGAGCTTCGGCTACCCCCCCCCCCCAACGAGAACGAAATCCGAAAGATATGACAAATTACCCCAGTGCGACCCTACCTAGAAGTTGGAGCCCCTAGGAAAGCAGCATTAGTTGCTATGCTATGCCATGCAATGCTATGCTGCGCTATGCAATGCTATGCTGTGCTATGCAATGCTATGCTGCGCTATGCTATGCTATGCTAAGCTAAGCTCTGCTACGTCATGCTGCGATGTGCTATGCTATGCTATGCTATGCTAAGCTGCGCTATGCTATGTTATGCAATGCTATGCTGTGATATGCTATGCTGCGCTATGCTACGCCATGCTGTGCTATGCTATGCTATGCTATGCTAAAGCTCAGCGAAGCTACGATGAAGGTAAGCTAAGCTAAGATAAACCTGAGCTAAGATGAAGCTAAGCTAAGTTAAGATGAAATGAGCTAAATTAAGATGAGATAAGCAACGCTAAACTAAGGGGACGTGACTGGGGGAACCGCGGGGCGGATACAGGGGGAACCGCCCGGGCCGGTTCCCACTGCCCGGCCCCTTTAAGCAAAGATAGTAAGAACCCTTCTAGGCAGAGCCTAGGTAGGGAACTACAGAGGAGACGCGATTGGCGAAGCTGGCAGACCAAATTATCGGAGCTATGCAGGCGAAGGTAGAGTACGGCAAACTGAGGAAGGAGATTGCAATAATGAGGTGCGTGATCAATTTGATGAAGGAACCGTGCCAGCGCATCCGTGAGCTTCGTCAGCATGCCGATGAACTGCTTCGCAGAAGGAAAGAAATCAACCAACGAATCACGGAATGGAAGGGGGGTGATTGTCATCGACGGGAGGCTTGGCACGCTAAAGACCCTCGTCCAAGAGGCGAAGCAGTGGAAGGATTGAAGGAGATGTTAGAGGACTCGAGCTGCGCCAGAGACGACGATTCCAACGAGAAGGAAGAGGGCGAGATCGACGAATAAAGGAATGAGCACACGAGAGGGAAAACCCCGCACCCCACAAGAAGAAGAGCCGTACCCAACAACCGCGACGATCGACCATACTTGGAACATATGGTTGCGGAGCTACACGAACGGCTCGATCAACAACAATCGCATCGAGGACCACATCAGCACCATCTTCCTGCACCGCGAGCGAGAAGCTCGAGCAAAAGACATAACATAATTACAATCGATCAAGCAAGAGTACACAGTTGAAGGCCAGCCAGCGTGGAAACCTCCAGGATGCCCCGAAGAAGCAGGAGAAGTACTACCAGACGGAAGCCGCAGCGCAGAGAGCAGAATCCAAAAAGCACCTGGAGGAGATTGCAGCCGCAATCGTGGGCCTCAACTATCGGGAAATCGAAGTTCAAAGGGATATTGCAAGAAGACACATGGAGGGGACGGAGGCCATGATGTACAGCTGCAAGAAGAAAGCGGCATCCGAGAAGCAGAAAATGAGGACGCACAAGAAGTGCTGCAAAACATCCACGCTTCAATCGAAGATGAAGAACGGATGCGAGAAGCTGCTGGGGAACGGATGCGGCAAGAGCAATCGCGCATCGGGTTTAACGTGCAGGAACAGCTCCTACGACAAGAACACAAATTCAGCAGCGGACCCAGCGCATACTACTCGAACACGCGCAGCAGCGCAGCGAAGGAAAGATCCGAGCTCGCCAAGAAATGGACGCCGAAAAGCAAGAGCGGCATTAGCGCGCCAGCGAGGAGATCAATGAGCGGGACAACCAGGTGCAAATAAAGAACAGTGAGATGTACCACGACATGGAGAGGAAGTGGAACATCATAAAGAACGAGGGGGAAGACCACTTCAGGGAGCAGATGCTGGTCCAATACGGCGATATGGAAGCGCAAGTCGCAAACAATCAAAGGATCCAGCACTGCGAGTTGGAGCAGTGGAAGCAGCACGAGAGGAGGATTGCACAAGAGTGCGCGCAACGACAGCATATCCACCATCAAGAGCAATGCGCCGAGCTCGCATCAACGATGAGCAACGAGCGGATCAAGTACGACATCCAGAATCGACATTTACAAGAAGTACTGCAACAAACCCGCGACATGCACGACGACATGGAGAAGGACGCGTCGACTGAACCCGAGCAACAATTCCAAGACCAACGCGACCACGACGCCAGGGACCATCGCGTGACCATTGCCGACGAATAAAGAATCCGCAACGAGACAGAACAATGCCTATACGCCCTGGCCCCCGACCAATACGAGAACATCCTACCTGACCTACAGGCGTGCGTGAGCGAGCTCACAGGTACAAGCAAGATGACCGAGACCACCGACAGCGACCCAATGACGCACGAGCGCGACGACAGCCCCAACGCGCATGCACATTTTTACGTGCCCCACGCTCCCCCCAGAAATCCAGAGCTCGCGACTCGGGCGTGGTAATCCGGACGCTTTTCAGCTCCCCCCTTCGCGCGGTCTACAACAGGGAACAGTAAGCAACAAGAAGCATAACTGTAACAGTGGAAACTGGCAACGGGAACTGGCGCAGGGAACAGCAAACCATCCGCCTACAGCCCGGGGACGCGAATCTCAAGTATTTTAACGTGCCCCACGCCCCCCCAGGAATTCAGACAACGCGATTTGGGTGTGGTAAAAAAAGCTAGTTTGGGGCTCGCCCCCCTTGCGCGGACAGCAACAAGTATCAGTAATGAAGCAGAAAACAGGATTGTAACAATGGAAACTGGAAACTGCAACTGGCACAGGGAGCTGCAATCCTCATTCTCTCAGCCTGGTGGCCCCGCAAGGGGGCTGGCGGATTAATAGGGAACAGCGACGAACCCTCTCCCCCCAGCAGGGGAAGGAGGGATTTGGGGCAGAGGGGAAGCAAGACTCGTCAAACCACCCACGCCCAGAGGGCTGGTGGGATTCGACCCGTCGCCAGAAAGGTGGGCGGACGAGTGCATTTCATGACGCTCCTTCTGTCTGCAGCAGCCCATCTGGAGACGATGCCCGGGCGAACCGTCGGGAGAGGGGAGGCAGACGAGCACACGGCAGAGTCGTGTCGTGTCGACACGGCGGCGGCCCCAGCGCGGGCGTGCAAGGTCTGACGCCTGTTGAAGCCCGGAAGCGGCCGATATTGTCACCACCAACGGCACCGTAACGGGTACTTACTAACGGGTACTTTGAGTTTTTGCCGAAAGTTGCCACTTTAGGGCCTTTCTCTTGCATTGCAGCTTTGCCCACATCGGGAAGGGTTGGGTTCGCTGGGTCAGTGGCCAAAGTACCCGTTAGTGGAGTCCCCGTTTGAGGGGCGCTGACACCACCCCCCAAACCACCCTAACTTAACCCGAAGCCCTCAATTTGCCCTCCATTTCCAGTGGGGGGGGGTCGGGGAACGTTGAAAAAAAACACATGGAACCCGCACCCCCCCCCCCCAACACGAAATTGGGGTCAAATTCGGGTCTTCGGGTTGGGTTGGGGTGGTTTGGTAGGTAGTCATATTGAACGATCTAGCTTATCGGTGTGGCGCGATCGTGCAATGTTGAACGAGCCACGCGGTGTCGGAAACCAACGTCCACCAAGACGCGACAAGGAAAAGGCCAACTAGGCTGAATCTTGAAGCCTCTTGGAGCCTCCTGGAGTCATCCTGAAGGTCTCTTGGGGCCCATGTGTGTACATTGGAAGCCGTCTTTGTGCTTTGGGGGGGCGCTTTTGGAATCCGTGGGGACCCTCGTGGGGCCATCATGGAGGCCATCGACCCCCAAGGGGGGGTCCGAGATTCGGGTCGCTCGGAGCCGAAAAGTTCGCCTCCTCGGTTATCTTGGGATGTTGTTGAGGCGCTCTTGCGTGAGGACGAGGAGAAGGAGGACAAGGAGGACGACGACGCCAGACGACATACGACAGACGAGGACGAGGAGGGGAGGGAGAGAAAATGGAGGAAAACAAGGACGAAGACGATGGCGAGGACAATGACGTGGCCGTGTCTGATGATGATGCTGTTTTCGATGTTGCTGCTGCTGATGATGATGCTGGAAACGATGAAATTAATGAAAATGATGATGTTGATGCTGATGATGATGATGATGCTGCTGATGATGATGATGATGAGGATGATGAGGGTGATGATGATGAGGATAATTGTGTTGGTGATGGTGGTGGTGATGATGATGGTGGTGATGGTGATGATGATGTTGATGATGCTGCTGCTGCTGATGATGATGATGATGATGCTGATGATGATGATGATGATGATGATGATGATGATGATGATGATGATGATGATGATGACAATATCAATGACACTGACACTGACAATAGCAATGACAATGACACTGACAATGAAGAGGAGGACGAGAAGGAGGAGGAGGAGGAGGAGGAGGAGGAGGAGCAGGAGGAGGAGGAAGGAGGAGGAGGAGGAGGAGGAGGACGACAACGAAGAATAAGAAGAAACAAAAAGAGGACGAGGACCAGGAGCAGCAGCAGCAGGAGCAGTAGCAGGACCAGCAGCAGGAGCATGAGCAGCAGGGGCAGCAGGAGCAGGAGGAGGAGAGGGGGGGGAGATGGGGGGAACGTGGAAGACGCGCTCGAGATCGAAGAAGGCGGGCAAGAGGAGGAGGAGGAGGAGGAGGAGGAGGAGGAGGAGGCAGGAGGCAGGAGGCAGGAGGCAGCAGCAGGCAGCAGCAGCAGGAAGGGCAGCAGCAGCCGCTGGAAGAGCAGCCGCGGTGAGCCAAGAGGCAGCAGGGAGGGGGGACGGGGCGCCGCCGTGCGCTAGGCGACCGCCAGCGCCGTGACAAAACAAATCCTCCTCCTTCGCCTCCTCCTCTTCCTCCCTCCCCTCCTCCCCCTCCTCCTGCTCCGCCTCTTCCGCCTCCCCCTCCTCCTCCTCTTCCCCTCCCCCTCCTCGTCCTTCTCTTCCTCCTCTCCCCTCTCCTCCTCCTCCTCCTCCCCTCCTCCTCCTCCTCCTCCTCCTCCTCCTCCTCCTCCTCTTCGTCCAGGGGGGGGAGCGCCAAAAGCCCCCGCGCCGCCCAGCTGTCCTCCGTCACAGACGAGGACAAGGCGGCGGTCGTCGAGGGCGCCGCGCTCGTGGAAGGCTTCTTGCGAGGAGGAAGCAGAAGCCGAGGAGGAGAATTGAGAATTTGGGACCCCAGCCTTTAGAATACGAGGGTACCGGAGAAAAAAACTAACCATCATTTTTTTTTAGAATTGTAGGGATATAGGGCTATAAGGCTATGGGGCTATAGTGCTATGGGGCTATAAGGTTATAAAGCTATAGGGCTATAGGACTATAGGGCTATAGGGATAGAGGGTGGATCGTTCAAGCGAAAAGACGCTCGTTCGAGCGAAAACGTAATCCGTTCAAGCGAAAACCAACCGAGCGAAAACCAATCCAGAGCAGCAGAGAACAGCAGAGAACAGCAGAGAACAGCAGAGGGCAGCAGAGGGCAGCAGAGAACAGCAGAGAACAGCAGAGAACAGCAGAGAACAGCAGAGAACAGCAGAGAACAGCAGAGAACAGCAGAGAGCAGCAGAGAACAGCAGAGAGCAGCAGAGAGCAGCAGCAGAGAGCAGCAGAGGAACAGCAGAGAACACAGAGAACAGCAGAGAACAGCAGAGAACAGCAGAGAACAGCAGAGAACAGCAGAGAACAGCAGAGAACAGCAGAGAACAGCAGAGAACAGCAGAGAACAGCAGAGAACAGCAGAGAACAGCAGAGAACAGCAGAGAACAGCAGAGAACAGCAGAGAACAGCAGAGAGCAGCAGCAGCAGAGAGCAGCAGAGAGCAGCAGAGAACAGCAGAGAACAGCAGAGAACAGCAGAGAACAGCAGAGAGCAGCAGAGAACAGCAGAGAACAGCAGAGAGCAGCAGCAGAGAACAGCAGAGAACAGCAGAGAGCAGCAGCAGAGAACAGCAGAGAGCAGCAGAGAACAGCAGAGAACAGCAGAGAACAGCAGAGAGCAGCAGAGAACAGCAGAGAACAGCAGAGAACAGCAGAGAGCAGCAGAGAGCAGCAGAGAGCAGCAGCAGAGAGCAGCAGAGAGCAGCAGAGAGCAGCAGAGAGCAGCAGAGAGCAGCAGAGAACAGCAGAGAGCAGCAGAGAGCAGCAGAGAACAGCAGAGAAGCAGAGAACAGCAGAGAACAGCAGAGAACAGCAGAGAGCAGCAGAGAACAGCAGAGAACAGCAGAGAGCAGCAGAGAACAGCAGAGAACAGCAGAGAACAGCAGAGAGCAGCAGAGAGCAGCAGAGAACAGCAGAGAGCAGCAGCAGAGAGCAGCAGAGAGCAGCAGCAGAGAGAACAGCAGAGAGCACAGAGAGCAGAGAGAGCAGCAGAGAGCACAGAGAGCAGAGAGAGCAGCAGAGAGCAGCAGAGAGCAGCAGAGAACAGCAGAGAGCAGCAGAGAACAGCAGCAGCAGAGACAGCAGAGAACAGCAGAGCAGCAGAGACAGCAGAGAACAGCAGCAGCAGAGACAGCAGAGAGCAGCAGAGAGCAGCAGCAGAACAGCAGAGAGCAGCAGCAGAACAGCAGAGAGCAGCAGCAGAACAGCCTAGAACTCAAAATCGTGGTTCCGCCATCCTCGGGGCCGCCGTGGGCCCGGGGCGCCAGCCTAGCTGGGAACCACGATTTCAGGTTTTTCCGGCCTGGATCTCTCCAAAATCGTGGTTCCCGCCATCCTCGGGGCCGCCGTGGGCCCCAGGGGCGCCAGCCAGAGCTGGGAACCACGATTTCGAGCTTTTCCGGCCTGGATCTCTCCATGGTTCACGCCATCCTCGGGGCCGCCGTGGCTCCCAGGGGCGCCAGCCAGAGCTGGGAACCACGATTTCGGCTTTTCCGGCCTGGATCTCTCCAAAATCGTGGTTCCCGCCATCCTCGGGGCCGCCGTGGGCCCCAGGGGCGCCAGCCAGAGCTGGGAACCACGATTTCGGGCTTTTCCGGCCTGGATCTCTCCAAAATCATGGTTCCCGCCATCCTCGGGGCCGCCGTGGGCCCCAGGGGCGCCAGCCAGAGCTGGGAACCACGATTTCGGGCTTTTCCGGCCTGGATCTCTCCAAAATCATGGTTCCCGCCATCCTCGGGGCCGCCGTGGGTCCCAGGGGCGCCAGCCAGAGCTGGGAACCACGATTTCGGGCTTTTCCGGCCTGGATCTCTCCAAAATCATGGTTCCCGCCATCCGTCGGCGCCAGCAGAGCTGGGAACCGTGGGATCTCTCCCAGGGGCGCCAGCCAGAGCTGGGAACCACGATTTCGGGCTTTTCCGGCCTGGATCTCTCCAAAATCATGGTTCCCGCCATCCTCGGGGCCGCCGTGGGTCCCAGGGGCGCCAGCCAGAGCTGGGAACCACGATTTCGGGCTTTTCCGGCCTGGATCTCTCCAAAATCGTGGTTCCCGCCATCCTCGGGGCCGCCGTGGGCCCCAGGGGCGCCAGCCAGAGCTGGGAACCACGATTTCGGGCTTTTCCGGCCTGGATCTCTCCAAAATCATGGTTCCCGCCATCCTCGGGGCCGCCGTGGGTCCCAGGGGCGCCAGCCAGAGCTGGGAACCACGATTTCGGGCTTTTCCGGCCTGGATCTCTCCAAAATCATGGTTCCCGCCGCCGCCGTGGGCCCCAGGGGCGCCAGCCAGAGCCAGGAACCATGATTTCGGGCTTTTCCGGCCTCGATCTCTCCAAAATCATGGTTCCCGCTTCGGTTTCCGCCATCCTTTTGGGCGCCGTGGGTCCCAGGGGCGCCAAACAGAGCCGGGAACCGGGATTTCGGGCTTTTCGAACCTCGATCTTTCCAAAATCTTGGCTACCGCTATTTTCTGGGCTGCCCTGGGTCCCTAGGGCGCCAGACAGAGCCTGGGGGCGGGGGGTGCTCTCTGCACGTTCCATGACTCTGAGCTGGGCCGGCGCCTCCGCGCATGCATGGAGCCTCGGCGCTCGGGGACTAGACCGCTACGACGCGGAGTGGCGGCGATGTGCCAGCCTGCACCGCTCCGCCCACCCAGCGGTCTCGTCCTCCCAGCGCGATCTGCAGCATCGACCGACTGCGATTTTCTTGGCCACCAGCGTGTCGTTTTGCATTGTTCTAGCTCTCGTGCTGTTTCACCGTCGCTCGGCATCTTTCATGCTAAGGTTGTTTAAGCGCATGGGTCATCCTGCTTTTGTGGGCAGTCGGTTCGCGCTGGGGCTGCTGCTGACTGCTCGGATCGCACCTGTGCTAGAAAGTCCATGAGGACTTGAGCTTTTCCAGCCTCGATCTCTCCAAAATCATGGTTCCCGCCATCCTCTGGGCTGCGGGGCCCTGGGAGCGCATAGCAGCAGAGACCACAGAGCAGCAGAGAGCACAGAGCAGCAAAGAGCAAAGAGCAGCAAAAAGAGCACAGAGCAGCAGAGAGCACAGAGCAGCAGAGAGCACAGAGCAGCAGAGAGCACATAACAGCAGGGAGCACAGAGCAGCAGAGAGTACAGAGAAGCAGAGAGAGAGCACAGGGCAGCAGAGAGCACAGAGCACAGAGCCGGGAACCACGATTTCGGGCTTTTCCGGCCTGGATCTCTCCAAAATCATGGTTCCCGCCATCCTCGGGGCCGCCGTGGGTCCCTGGGGCGCCAGACAGAGCCGGGAACCGGAATTTCGGGGGTTTTCCAGCCTGCACTTCTCCAAAATCATGGTTCCCGCCATCTTCTGGGATGCCGTGGGTTCTTTTCGCGCGCGCGCCCAGCGGATTTCTTTCGAACGGCCCGCAGTTTTCGCGCGAATCGATTTCGCGCGGACGGCGGACCCTCATAGGGATAGGGCTACTGGGGCTATTGGGGCTATAGAGCTATAGAGCTATAGGGCTATAGGGCGATAGGGCTACAAGGCTATAGGGCTATTGGGCCAATAGGGATATAGGTCTATGGGTCTACAGGGCTATAGGGCTAAAGTGCTAAAGGGCTACAGGGCTACAGGTCTATAGGGTTATAGGGCTATAGGGCTATTGGGCTGTTGGGCTATAGGGCTATATGGCTATAGGGCTATAGGGCTATAGGGCTATAGGGCGATAGAGCACCCAGGCACCTGGGCACCCAGGCACCCCGGGGCACCTCCGCGCACCCCTGGGCACCTCCAGGCATCCCTGGGCACCCCCAGGCACCCGGGCACCCGGGCCGGCCACCGAAATCGGCGGCCCACCTCACCTGACCATATGAATCTTCTAGGACCCCTACACAGAACAGAGGCAAGCTCTGATTGGGGAATAATCCCAGAGCCCTGAGTGCAGAGAACACAGGACACAGGAGAGCCTGGAGAAAACTCCACTTCGCGCCTCGTGGCACAGTGGCGGATGACGGGAAGCGCCTCGGGCGTGGACCGTGTTTCTTAACCAAGTGCACTTTTCTCTAATGTAGGGGTGCGCGTCGCATCCCGGAATTCGCTGGCGGATGACGGGAAGCGTCTTCGAGGAACGAGAAGCGAGTTGGACGTGTTGGCTGACACTGTAACATATTGATAAGATTTACAAAATTGTTCTCGTAACTATACCGCTCGGGATCGCATGCCGTTCGGGATCGCATGGGAGCCCGGCTTAGCGGATGACGGGAGGCGCGCTCAGATTCGAAGAGTCGCGCAATGAACGTCGGTGTAGGCCTGGAGGGAAATATTACCAATTGGGGGGAGTCTGAGGGGGGAAGGGCTCGGGATTGTTCCTTGATGACGGGAAGCGCGCTCAGACTCGAAGAGTCGCGCGATGGACGTTGCTATATGCCCTGAGGGGAATATCACAAACAACAAGGCTTCTGGTGACCAAATGGTGGCCTCGCACAAGCTCATAGGCAGCCTCGGGGGTGATATTAGACACAGTGGGCCCTTGAGGTGGCCGACGGGCACTAGGCAGACTAGACACAGTCAGAATCGCTAGCACCGATCCTGGCAAGGCCCATCCTTGACCCAGGATCGGTGCATATGCCTTCCTGGCCAAGGTAGGAGGGCGTATGCACCGATCCTGGGCTCACGATGGGCCTGGCCAGAATCGGTGTATGTGCATAGTTTTTTTTCTTTTAGAGTAGACACAGTATCGCTAGCACACGCAGCCCTGCGCACCATCGCCAGATGGGGTTGCCACACCTCGTGCTGTCGGCAAAACAGCGCCGGAGCCAGGCGCCCTCGCCGCGTCCGCAGACGCCCCAGACTGGCCGCTGGTGGGGATTGGGCCCCCAGCGGCCTCCCCAGACCCTATAAGGAGGACGAGGAGGAGGAGGAGGAGGAGGAGGAAGAAGAAGAAGAAGAAGAACACTGCGGAAAATGATTGCGGAGTAGGACGAGGGTGATGGGCAAAGGGAAGTAGTGAGGAGAAGTCTTGTGGATGCGGCGCGAAAAAGAGGAGGGGGAGGGTGGACATGAAAATGAGCCTCGGAATGAAAACGGAAATCAGCAGTACGTAGCGGAAAGCAAAAGTGCGCAACACCAAGCAGCAGCAAGCAATGCCGAACAGCCACAAGGGGCTCAAGCAGCAGCGCTTCCAGTTGTGCCCGAAATATGCACGGTGAAAGTACAAAGGATCGTGGCCCTGGGAGCGCAGATCCAGGGCAAGTTACCAAGGATCGTGGCCGTGGGAATGCGAATGCAGCTAAATGTTCCAGGGATCGTGGCCCTGGGAGTGCGGATATCGTCGTCCTGGGAGCGCGTATCCAGCGTAAGAGGCGTTGAATCTTAGCGGATCCCCCCCGTGACATACAGAAAGGGGCAGGTACACCTCGTACATTCAACCTCTGACGCCACCAAAGTAACATTGACGGCTATGCAACGTGATTTCTCCAAGCCAGGTGACCCCAAAAGGGGGCCAGCAGATTGTGAGGGTGGGGATGTGGGTTGAGTTCCCCTTTTCCGCACACGTCACGCCGTCCCTTCGGGACAGATCCCCGAGCCACGATGCCCACACGCGTCCAGAAATAATCATTGGCGAGGGGGGGCAGATGCTACTGTGAGCAACCATTACAACATTATCAGTGCAAGATCGTTCGAAAACGTGTCCTCGTCTCCTTCTCCCTCCGACTCTCTTCTCCACTTGCCTGGTGCAGACAATGGTGGGGGGTCTGACCCCCTGGCTGGTTTCAAATGCTATAGTGTCTTCTACTTCAAAGTCCATCTATTCCCCCTTCCCCTCTCCTCGTTTCCCCCTCTGCTCCTTTCAAAAGCCACTACAACGTCATCCTAACCTCGTCCATTCCTCTTATCTCCCCTCCTCTCCCTGCATTATCGTTAGTCATCAATCTCATCGTCATCGATACCACCGCTACCACTTGACTATCATCATGGGTGTGGTGATCGGCGTCATCCTCACCTCCCCTCATCATGTTCAGCACCGCTTGTCGTCATCATCATCACAACCCACATCATACATTATCACCATCAACATACATTATACATTATCACCGGCATCATCAACATCGTCATCATCAGCATCAGCGTCATTTGCAGCATCACCATATTCAGCATCATCAGCATCATCAGCATCATCATCATCATCATCATCATCATCATCATCATCACCATCATCGTCATCATCATCAGCAGCACCATCAGCATCAGCATAACCATCATCAGCATCAGCAGCATCATAATCGCCATCATCATCAGTGACGTCAGCATCACCATCAGCATCAGCACCAGCACCAGCATCAGCATCATCATCAGCATCACCATCATCATCACCATTATCATCATCAGCATCCTCATCAGTACCGGCATCACCGTCATCATCACCACCAGCATCATCTCCATCGGCATCATCATCAG